TATACTTAACATAGACAATTATTCTGTGTTATCATGTTTTTAAAAAGTTTTTACATTTGTTTAATATACTTGTGATCAAACTGTATTCATAACATTGTATCCTGATTTTTTTCATGTACCTATTTTATTTTATTTTTTTTAATGTTTTATTTATTTCTAGGAGAGAGAGAGACAGCATGAGCAGGGGAGGGTCAGAGAGAGAGGGAGTCACAGACTCTGAAACAGGCTCCAGGCTCTGAGCTGGCAGTCAGCACAGAGCCTGACGCGCGGCTCGAACCCACGAACGGCGAGATCATGACCTAAGCGAACGTCGGACACTCAACTGACTAAGCCACCCAGGCGCCCCTTTCATGTACCTATTTTAACATAAACATTTTTCATATTCCCACAGTTTTTAAGGGTTGTATATTTCAATGACTCCAGGAGCCAGCTTTTCATTTCTCTAGGAACCAGCTTTTCATTTCTCTAGGAACCAGCTTTTCATTTCTCTAGTATTAGACAACTGTACTATTTTCCTTTTTTTTTTTTGCTATAAATTATACACATTAAGAAATTATGGGGGTGCCTGAGTGGCACAGTTGATTGAGTTTCCAACTGGCCCAGAAGTTATAGGATTTGCCTAACATTATCTTTTTTTTTCTTAATTTTTAAAAATCTATTTATTTTAAGAGACAGAGAGGGAGTGAGGTGGTGAGGGGCAAAGAAAGACAGAGAGAGTGAATCCCAAGCAGGCTCTTTGCACTGTTAGCGCAGAGCCTGATGCAGGGCTTGATACTCCAAACTGCGAGATCATGACCTAAGCTGGATGCTTAACTGACTGAACCACCCAGGAACCCCAAGATTTGATTTTTAAGTAATCTCTCTACCCAATGTGGGGCTCGAACTGACAACCCCGAGATCAAGAGTAACACGCTCTACTGAATGAACCAGCCAGGCACCCCAGCATTCTAAGCAAAATATAATTACGGAAGTAAATAACAAAAGATCTTGACGTAAAGTAATACAGTAAATCTCAAAGCCAAGTAGAAGTGTTTCCGGTTCTATTTTGGGGTTATCTGTTCTCATGAGAAATTGAGGGCTGACAGTTTGAGAGTAGCAGTTACCTCCAGGTAGAAAGGAGGACTGCATTTGATACTCCATTCCCATTCCTCAAAGCCTTCATTCTTAATCCTTCATGGTAGAGGAAGGGTAGAAACCCTTAAGGAATAGCTGTGAGAGGTGCAGGGGAGAGCTATCTCTCCAGCAATTCCTGTCTATCCTGGGTCCCAAAGAGTGTGGTATTTTGTCAATGTCAGGCTACTCTGAAAACTGCCTGTATCTAGGACAAAGGCACTACTTACAACTTTTCTTCTAAGAGAAAGATCTAAAGAACAATTGCTTAAGGATAGAGTTTGAGTGTATTTAAGTAATGCAGGAATATTCATCTCTTCCTTCTGAACGTTTAATCTCTATTTTCTAAGTGTTTATTCCCATCCCTGAGACAAATATTTACTTCGTTTCTCATTTCTTTTTTCTCAGCTTAAACAGATAATACTTTAGTGAGCGCATTCCTGACCTAATGGCTAAATCATAGTTAAGTGTTAATGTAGGAAATCTTAATGCTTTCACATTTTTCTCAGTATCTCTTATCATTCTGATTTTCATGAGCCCGCTTTTTAAAAACATCCAACATTTAAATTTTTCAAGTAATTTGGATATTTGGACTCTCTTGGAATACAAAGTTGCTACTGTTTAAGAAAAATAATGTTCCATTACTATGTTGTGCATGAATTCTCAAAAATAGCAAAATCTGCAATTTCTTCCTAGAGACTGTCCTATTCCAACAGTGAATTTATCCTGGAATTGGACCACCTACTATAAATATGCATGAGTGACTTGTCAGACATCAGAAAGGCTCTTCTCCTAGCTCTAAGTTAGTGGTCTCCGATTCCTGTTTTCCAAACACCGTCTGTTACAACTTCTTGTATCAGATGGCACTGCCTACCTAGTGCATTTCTCCTTACTGTATAACCAGAAAATCAGTTCAGTGAAAGTAGATCCTGTTAGCATTACTGGTTTATCTGGTATGTTGGCCTGTTAAATACTGTTGATTACTTTATTACAGGTCAGATTTGATAACTGCCCTCAGCCGCCCCAGAAAACAGAGCTGATATTAAGTAATTATTTGTCAAAAGTTTCATTGCTGGGGCGTCTGGGTGGCTCAGTTGGTTAATAGTCCGACTTCGGCTCTGGTCATGATCTCATGGTTCGTGGGTTCGAGCCCTGCGTCGGGCTCTGTGCTGACAGCTAGCTCAGAGCCTGGAGCCTGCTTCAGATTCTGTGTCTCCCCTCTCTCTTTGACCCTCCCCTGCTCATGCTGTCTCTCTCTCTCAGAAATAAATAAAAACATTAAAAAAATTTTTTTTTAAGTTTCATTGCTATAGCAATGGAGAAACACTTTAAGAATCTGTAAGTCCATCTTTCTCGTTTGAAAGCAAGCGTCTTTCTGCTTATACATAGGAGCTCAAAATATGTACACAGATCAATGGGGCACACTCACCACATTTATGCAGTATCTTCTTCAACTGCGCATTTGAGAAAGTATTTGCACTTACATTCAAAGGAGCCTCCTACACAGCATCCAGCTCCGCAGATGGTAATTGGTCCCTTCCATCTTACTTTGATTTTGTCCTACTAGCCTGTCTTCTATTTGGGCCAGCGCTAAAGTAATAGGAGTTTCTACAAAGAATACAATGTATTTCATAAAACTTTTCCGAAAGGACTTGACTAACAGTGCCAATTTTCCACACAGATTACAAAGCCTTTTAATAATACCACATTATATCTCTTGAGTTATTTACACAAAATATTTCCACAGATGAAAGAAAAATCAATAAAATGCACAATCACAACATCACAGATAAGGTCTGGCATTGATTTATGAACCTAAGACAAAGTTTTGTTTCTTAAACTAATCTGACCTAGTAACATCACCATACTTTAAATGTATCTTATTGCTCTGAGGGGAAAAGAAAATATGCTGCAAAATCCAATATACACTGATAATTAGTTTCATCAAGCTAGTAAGAAACTGATTTTGATTACTATTATTATTTTTTAAAATATTTTTATTTATTTCTAGGAGCGAGAAAGAGAGAGACAGCGTGAGCAGGGGAGGGTCAGAGAGAGAGGGAGATACAGACTCTGAAATAGGCTCCAGGCTCTGAGCTGGCAGTCAGCACAGAGCCCGACGCGGGGCTCGAACCCACGAACCGCGAGATCAAGACCTAAGCGAAAGTCGGACGCTTAACCGACTAAGCCACCCAGGCGCCCCTGATTTTGATTATTAGAATCAGGGACCATCTTCAAGAAATCAAACACTTCTTTTGACCATATTACAAATCTTTATGTCTTTGGATGGGGAGGAGGAGTGTCACTGCTAATCTTACTACTTGTGGATTCTAGTAATACTTAAACAAATCATATATCTGAATTTCCCCCTCAAATAAATAAAAGTGATCAGACCCAATCACTCCATAGGAAAAGCAGGACAATCAGGTGCTAAGAGAAAGCCTGACAACAGAATTTTCATCTGTATAATGAGGAGTCCACCAACAATAGAACTGTCTGCTGAAAATTTTCATCTCTTTGTCCAGTCTCCAAATTCCAAGTCCAAACCCAGTACTTTTTCACATTTTCTGTAAAGTGGATGGCCTTAATTAAAAAACTCTTGTTCGGGGCACCTGGGCGGCTCAGTGGGTTAAGCGTCCGACTTCAGCTTAGGTCATGATCTTGCAGTTTGTGGGTTCGAGCCCCATGTCAGCTCAGAGCCTGGAGCCCTCTTCGGATTCAGAGTCTCCATCTCTCTCTGCCCCTCCCCCACTCTTGCTCTGTATATCACTGTCTCTCAAAAATAAATGTTAAAAAAAAAAGTCTTTTGTTCCCTGGTGCACTTAGTTTTGCAGAAGAAAAGGAGTTTCCTTATCAAGAATGAATCTAGCTTCTCCAACACAAAGACAACTATGTTCTCCATATCTCAACAAGTGTTAAGTGTCTTTTCTAACTTAAATAGCCATTCCCTTCAAGTGAAGGGTCATACTCTACTGGCTCTTCCTTCTGAGACCTTTATGTCCCACAGCTTACAAAAGTCTTCTGGGCAGTGCCCCAATTCGGTTCTGGATACTCACAGGGCACACATTTTCTTCTATAAGATGGTTTATAACCTTTCCTGCTGTCTAGCCAACGCAGCTTTAAACTTTTCTATTCTTGTCCCGTTCTTTACATTCGGCTGCAAGTGGGAAGGTAAACTTTTCACACAACCATTCACAAGTCCCGACCTCCCGCCCCCAATTCCTTCCTCCTCATTCATGTGATAACGTTTTGATGGGAACACCTTACCTCACCTTTTGTCTCTGCTAGTCCATCTGCTTCCTTCCTGGGCTTCAAAGATAGGCCAGGGTCATTGAGACTTGGCCAGTGGGCATTTGGTAACCGGCAGAGCCACCTGCGCTTTCTGGAGTGTCCTTTCTCCCATCTACCACTTGAACACTCTCTCCTTAAAATATTTACCTCCTAAAAGTCCCAACTCACTTTGAAAGACGATGTACCTACTACCCTATGGGCCCTTTGTCTGAGGCTTCCACACCTCACATCCTCATCCACGAAGCGTCCGTCCTCACACAGGTATGGTCTGTCCGGCACGAGGCAGGGGAGCCTAGGTTTCTACGTCCCGTAAAGGGATGGATCATGGCCGAGGTCCTTCCAGGAGCCAAAATTCTACAATTCTATGACCAAATCTGTAGGTCCTATTTTTGAGGTGGGAAGGACAAACTCCCGGGCGACCCCCGAAGTCGGTGACCGCGCTGGCAGTTAGAACTGCCCCCTCCCGCCCAGGCTATGAGTAGCTCCGCCTCCGACATCGGGCGCCGGGGCGCGGAGGAGGCCCGGTCGACGCCCGCTGACTGCCGCGCCATGCCCGCGCCCTCCTTCATCCTCACCCGTCGCTGAGGGCCCGCTCTCACCTGGCATGCTGGCATCGCCCGTCCCACGCTGTGCCGGAGACCATGGGTCCGGACCGGTCTCGACCACCACCCGCCGGCAAAGACGGAGGCTGGCGGAGACGCGCGGGCCCCGGAACCTAAAGCGCAGGCACCGGGAACGCACCGCCTGGTTTCTAAGGAACCGGGAGCTCTGGAAAGAGATGGGCGGGACGGCGGGAAGTCTGCGCATGCTCCTTGACGGGGGTGGGCCCGCGCTGGGACGGGCCTTGATCGAGGTCTGCGCATGCGCACATGCTCGCACTTTGGGGGCGGGGGTTATCTTAGCTAGAGGGCTTGGTCCTTTATTTCCGGCGGTGGCGGCGGCTGTGCTAGTGTGTTACTGCGTCTGCTGGTTTCGGGCCTCCGCCTGGCGTCACAAACAACCAGGTTCTGGGAACTGTAGTGTGCCTTGGTTGTTCTGGAATGAAGGAAGGTCTGGTGTTGGACACAACGACCTGTCGTTGCAGAACGGTAGTTCTCTTGGACTCGCCGGACTCTGGCCTCCTGACTCCTACTGATTCTTCTGTTCTCTGGTGCCTGTCTGGGTTTCTCTTCCTTTGCGTGTTCTTTGGCTGTTCCTTAGATGTTAGTGGTCCTACAGGGACCCCAGCTCCTCCTGATCTCTTTACTGGAGCCTGTGTCCTCCCAAGTAAATATCATTTTGTAACAAGACTTCAGTTCACCATATTGTCTGCCGGAGTAGTGAAACCTGTAAGCCTTACTGTAAAACAGGCTATGTTGGAAATGTGGGATCAGGAGTTATTTCTGCATGGGAAGACCCTCCCCTGCTTTTCTGACTCTTGTGGAGAGTCAGGATCCCCACTCAGCTGGTATTAGGAAGGTGTCCCAGCTCTGGTTCCAGAGTCACTTGTGATAATAGAACATGTCAGTTGAGCTGAGGCAGTTGTTCTCAGAACTGCTGACCAACCGGGTCCAACTGCTTTAGATGACTTCCTGCCACTGCTGCCACCTTCTGAGCATGGAAGACTCCCAAAGTGATGAGAAATTGTAACCTCTAACCTCTCTTCTCATGGAGTTTTATCCCTTTAATCTTTTCCCCTGCATTCTGAACAGCCATGCAGAATCAAAATGTGCTTGTGTTTGACATTTCTGTGTTTCTGTCCCAAGATTCACCCTAGAACAGGGTTTCTCAACAGTTGCACTGTTGACATTTTGTGCCTGATAATTTTTTGTTGTTGGGAGCTGTCTATGCATTGTAGGATGTTTATAGCATCCCTGGCCTCTAGCCAGTAGATGCCAGTAGCACTCCAACCAAGTTGTGACTACCAAAAATATCTCCAGTCACTGCCAAGTGTTCCCTGGGGACCAAAATCACTCCCTGTAGAGAACCGCTAGAAAGAAATCAATTCACTCTGGCTTTACGGAACCAGGACTTTTGTGCTTAATCTAACATTCCATTCTTCCCGGCACATTAACTTTTCCATAAGAGTTGTCGATTAATAGTCCTATAAAATAACCAAGTGAAGCACGCACATACTGTATCCCTCTCTGGCAAGCCTGCCCTATACATGCTAGAATCCTCTACCTCCATGGGGTAGGATTAATCGCATTTTAAGGGTAGGGAAACTCAAGCTGAGAAAGGTTAATTTTCAGAGTTACCCAGTTAGTAAACAGAACTAGGATTTGGAGCATGAGTGCTTTCCCCTCAAACTGACAGGAAGCTAATTCAATAACCCTCAGAAGCACTCGGAATACCCAGTGTTTGGGATAGTGTATTTGGAGTCTATTAAAGTCTTACTCTGAGGACAGGAGGACCTGTAGCCACCGTTTGGAAGCTGAATTTGCTCCTTGTGTTAGATGAAAGCTGTCTGGGGGGAGAGAATTGAAGCCTAAGTGCCTATCCTCTTTGGGCTCTCGCAAACACCTGAAGTCCTGAAGGTTCCTGAGGGGGGACCAGGGGCCTGGCAACCGAAGAGGTGAGCTGAGAAGGGGCCAAACCTTCAGAACAGAGTGTGTGCCACACAGGGGTGCCAACCTCAGGAGAACTCAAAACAGAGACCAGACACTCGTGACTGCTCATGGATGTGTATTTTAATAAAAATAATTCTGTCAAAATACAACAGGAGTTTTTTCATTTCTCAAGTACAATTTAATAGGATGTTTTGTGTTAGAATTCTCTCTAAACCCTCCCACAAGTTTCATGCTAATACCAAGTATCAACTCCCAAGGACAAAGGCAGAACCAGTGTGCACAATGTGGAGGACATCTGTTTCAGCTGTAATTACTAATGGAGGAAAACCCTATGCAAAGAGGCGGCACCTGAGGCAGCCAGAGTCTGCGAACTGGCCACAGGTCCGGTGCATGGGACTGGCAGTCAAGTAGGGTTCTGCTGCCTGGCTGCCACACAGCGTGCATACCTGAGTTGTGAGCAACCAAAGGAACTTTCAGCGCTGACAGTTCTCTGCCTCATCTTCTTTGTGCTTGCTTAAGGGGTAGAAAGGTGCTGGGTGGCTGGGCAGTCCCCACTTCCCCATCTCTTAGTGTCCCTGCTCTGTCAGCCTACCCCCCAGCCACAGACCCAAGTGGGTGAGGATCAGAGGTTCTGGCTTTCTTTGCATTGTCTGCCAGCATCCACTCTGGAAGGTAACAACTGGTGGCACAAGGGGGAAAGGTAAACAGGGAAGGCTGTTCCCCCAGGGCTGGATGGCCCAACAGAGCCAGGTCTTCTTCCTGTCCTGTCAGGTCAGGTCCAGCCCTTCACTGGGGCTCCTCCCAGGTGCCTTCCCCACTGTTGGCTCCCAGACAACAGGCTGGTAGGAGTAGGTGTGCATAAGGGGCTCCTCTGGCTGGCAGGCAGCCCTGGACTATCAGCAAGATAGTGGACTCAAGCAGCTTGGTTTTGATCCTCTCCATGGCTTGTGGGGCAAAGGCTTATGTCCCAAAGGTAAGCTGTCCAATTGGGACAGAGAACCCCTCTGGAGAGGAACAGAGTAAACAACTTGGACTCAGCTGAAACAGAGAGATAAGGCACAGAAAATGGGGAGGTGGCCATGGGAACTGAGCGTGAGCCAGGTGGACACTCAACCCCAAGCAGCACATAGCTGTTCCGGGCCCTCTTGGGCCCTCTCTCAGCTGCTCCACAACTCAAGCCCAGGCACCCATCCCCATCCCTGACACACCCCTGAAGGTACCAGCTGCCCAGACACTGCTGGGGGGTCTCACCAGCCTAAGCCTTTCACTCACCATTTAGCTTCAGGATTAAGCAGTGTTGTACAACCCATGGGGATGAGGTTAGTCCCAGCTTGCGACTAATTTGCTGTGTGACTTTGGCTAAGTCATTTAATCTCCAGGGCCTGTTTCCTTATTAAATGAGAGGAATGGTGGAGTAGATGTTCTCTGACCCCCATTCCAGCTAAAAAAGCCTCTGGTTTTAATTCTCAATCCTGCTCAGCTCTGATCATTTTAACACCTTGATGTTTCTAACCTCTGCATTTGGGAGCTAGCCATCCCCAGCCTCGCACAGGATCAGTTTTCCTTTATAGACATGACAACACCTCCCCAACAGCCCATGGTCTGTGGGGTGCCAGCCAAGGCCCTGGTGGGGACCAAGAAAAGCAGCAGCCTATAGGATCATGTCCCAAGGCAGAACTCGGGGAAAGCACAGGGCCAGGGCCCTCACCCCATCACCAGCAGGTGGTCCAACTGAATCACTTTTCCTGTCCAGCTGTGAGCGTGACAGGCAATGAATATCTCAGGCTGTACCAACCACATGTCTGCTAACAGAGAGCAGGGGTTTACCCAGCTCTTGCCCAGGCATGGACTGAAAGTTCATTTCTGTCCTTGCCCCTTTGCAAGGGCTACCTGTGCATTCCCTCTCACTATGAAGCAGGTAGGGAAAGCCCAGCCCCTCTTGGTGCTCCTCTGGGTAGGCCTCCTTCTTTTCTTCCTCCTGGGCAGTCAGTCCTCTCCACTGATGGCCTGCTCAAGTCCTAGCAGTCATCTCAGCCCTTCCTCTCCTGATTCCCTGATGGTAGTACTGGGACTGTTTCTGCCTCACCGGCTGTGAGGATCCGTCTGAAACGGCTGGTGGGACATTTGTAGAGCCCATGAGGTCCCTTCCTCTGGCCAACAAATACTCATAGTAGTCTTTTCTAAGAGTGGCTGGGGCCACGCTGCAGGGAGCTGCCTGGCATAGCTGCAGTGAAGCCTGGCCTAGTAGGTCAAGAGTTCCATCCACTCCAGCAACTGGCGGCCCAAGTATCTGCCTCCACAAGGTCCTAGCTTCACAACAGAAAGCATTGATTCCATCAGAGCTGTGAAGAGATGGTGAAGATCCAGGCAGAAAGAAGGCAGTCCCTGTACTCAAGGGCCTCTGTCCTGGAATAGAGTCATCTTCCCCGCAGCCTGACACACAGCAGCTCTCGGGTCGAAGGCAGGTAGTTTCCAGGCAATCAATTTAGAGTAAATGAATTATTTGGCCATCTTAACAACAAGGGAAAACAGGATGCTGAATGGGGGAGAAAGGGAGGGGCAAAGTAGGCAGTGAGAGGCAGGGTAGAACGGTAGATAGCGTGCTGGCCAAGGACCCTCTACTCCCTTGCTTTGCTGTGTAGCCCTAGGCCAACCAACTCATCCCTTCTCTGAAGCCTCAGCCCTATAGTTCTCCACCCAGCCCAGCTCTCAGGGGCCTAGGGACCCACACCTCTCAGATGCTGCAAACCAGCTTAGCTTGACCTGCCCACTAAGTGGCCCCCAAAGCCTACTGGGCTTCAGGGAGCTGCAGCTGGGCCTGTGGCTCAACTAAAGGGAAGCCTGAAATAAACACATCACTTGGCTGAGGTGACAGAGATGATTCTTTTTTTAATGAGTTGGACTCAAATAAAAACGTATGGTGTCTGGACAGCCTCACCCAAGAGGTGCTGGACCACTAACACTACGATAAATACTGTGTCTTTTTTTAATATATATATATTTATATATATAATCTCATTTTTTTTTTTACTTATGAAAATAGTAAGCTATCACCAACTTGGATAGGCTTCATCACTAAACGAGCAGAAACCAGCTCAGCACAAGCTCTCCAGAGATAAATACTGGTGGCTCAGTCAGGAGGAAAAAAACAAAAAGATTAAAAAAAAAAAACCCACCCCCTCCTCAAAATAAAATCCCCCCTTTCAAAGT